AAATTTGAGGGGGCCGGGGAGATGGCTGGGGCCAGGGAGATGGTTCAGTGGAATAAGCGCTTCCCTGGCAAGCGCAAGGGCCTGAGTTCAATCCCCGATTCCGCCAAAAAAAAAAAAAAAAAAAAAAAAAAAAAAAGAAAGAAAGAAAGAAAGAAAGAAAGAAAGAAAGAAAGAAAGAAAGAAAATTTGTTTGCCACATGCTGATTTTTAAATTTTTCTTTGGGAGTTAATTTTAACTTCTTTCACTGATAATGAAAAAAGTATTGCACCTTTTGAAATACACCAAATGGACTGAGTTTGTAGTTAAAATGTTTTTTTCTGTTAGTCATTGTCTTGTGTGCTCAGCATAGATTTGCAATTCAGTTGTTCAGATTCCAGCAGATCTGACACAGAGGAAATATGAAGGGAGGTGCTACAAGACTGATGCCTAGGGGATAACTGGCATTCTCTTTCAGGTTGTGGGGATGCAAGCCTGCTCACTAAGAAGCCATGGGTGGGCAGGGGTGGGGAGAACACTTAACAACGTGGGGACCAGCTAGGGGCATCCCCTTATTTCTGTTTTCCATCTGAGGAACCTTATAGCAGTGGGTTGAGGCTCTCTTATTTAAACAAAATCATGCAAGGAGTCTTATGAAGAGTCCTACTGTTAATACGGACTTTATCAGCTTATTTTTGTTGAAATTTCCAGTTTTGAAAAATGTTAAGGTAATTTTTCACCTTGCCCAAATCCTCTTTTTTTTTTTCAAATCCTAATTCTTGTAGATTTCGACTAGTGTTGAAGCAACGCTTTCTCATGTCTCAATCTTTGTATATATATTCTTTTCAGATGTATTAAACAAACAAAAACCCTTCACAAAAAAAAAAATTAAAAAAAAAATCCAAAAAATGCTGACAGTCAAAATATTAACCTGGTAGAGAAGCATTTAACATTTCTTTTCTGCCATGTGAATGCCTAGGCAGCTTTGATTCTATAAGTTAACGACACCACAAAGGATACTATAATATATAATTTAAATATTGTGTGCAAAATATTGTGTTTTGGTTTAAAATATCTAACATATAAAGGTTCTCTAATATGATACAAATGGAGGAATTAAGGAGTGGGACAGTTGTAAGAGCAAATAAGTGTTTTGATTTACTAGGCCCTTTTGGTTTCCTTTAGTTTTCCACTTTTTTCCTTGCTGCCAAATTTTTAACTTCTTTTGATTAATAAGATGCTAATTGTATTAGGCTCTAGAGTTAGTAAACTTTAATCCCTTATGGCCTGTGATTCGTGAAAATCCTGAACAGCTGTCACTGACTTTGCAACCTGTGTTACCCTCCCTCTCCCTTACTGTAGTTACCGAGGGTTTCCTGTTCTGGCTGCTGAGGTATCTCAGAAGGCAATATTCAGATCTCAGTCGTAATTTAAGTCACAAAACTGCCTGGGGCTTAACTTAGCTGCAGTTTTTTCCTTATCGCTTATTTCTGCTGTAAAGAGCTCATTTAAATTGTTTTCAAAAATATCTTCTCATGTTTTAATTATCTGAACCTGAAAAATGTTTTACTTGAACTATTAAGGAAGCTGCTGTTGTTTTCATTTTCCTTTCTCGCCTGTCTCTGTCTTTGTCTCTCTCCCTTCCTCTCTCTCTTCCTCTTCTGTCTCTGTGTCTCTCTCTCCCTTCCTCTTTCTTCTGTCTCTGCCTGTCTGTCTGTCTGTTTGTCTGTCTGTCTGTCTGTCTCTTTTAATGTAGCATCCTGGCCAGGCAGTCTTGGAACTTCTTTGTTCAAATGGTTCTGTTGCGTCAGTCCTCTAATTAGCTGACAGGGCAGGTGTGCTGAACCTCATCTTGTTGCATTTCCAGCATTTTCTAGTCATGATTATACACAATTTTAGAAGATGCAAATTAATTTGTAAAAATATTTCAACAAATTTATGACCGATTCAAAATAAGCACTTTCTCACCTGGAAAATATCAAATGTTATGGCAAAGTAAAAAATGACAGAACGAAAAGAAACTATCAGGAAAAGTGAAGGCACTTACACTGTCAGGCCAAGTGAAGCAAATAGAAAAGTAGCCCTGGGCAAGAGAGAAACAGAGAAATCTCCATATTTCTATGACAGTTTCTTCAGTGACTGAAGAACCCCATTATAGACACTTGTGACAAAAAAAAATTATGTTTGGGGTGATGGTGAAAATGCAAAGACATGATAGCAAGAATGTTTTTCTTTCCACCTGTGTGACAGAAGTGTCAACAAGTACTAATGTATGTGTTAGCTCTGGGTTGCAGGAACACAATATCCAACACAAATATCTGATTTAAATGGCAGGTTTATTTTGGTTCATGTTATCAGAGGCATCGGATCACGGTCCACTGTCTCCACAGCAGCAACATCACAGCAGGAGGGCATGGAGCAAGAAAGTGGCTCACCTAATGACATCCTGGAAGCAGAGGACATGGACCAGAGTGGCCAGGGACTGACACAGTCCTCACAGTCACACTGCCACGACACACCCAGACACACTCAGAAGTTTACTTCATTCATGAAATTGCAAGGGTTTCTCTCAAGCTAATTATAATGACAACGAAGATTAACCATCAGAGCTTTTATTTTTTTTTGCCTGACTTTATTATCTATCATTTGCTGTGTAACAAAGTATTATATACCCAAAATGTGATTTAACACAGAATTTAGTACTTTGCAGGTTTTGTGAATCAGAAATCAACCTAGGAATGGCTTACTGGGTCCTTTGTTTCAGGGCCTCTTATGTGGCTGCAATGGCAGAGGGGTCACTTTCATCTCAAGTTCCCAGTAGGGAGAATCTGTGTCCAAATTCACCCTTACAGTTGTTGGAAGGATTCAGCTCCTTGTGGGCTATGGGCAGGATGCCTCCCTGATCATTGGCTTGTGGACTTTATGGCAAGTGGTCCCAATCAGGGAGAGTGAAAGGTCAAGAGAGAAGCCTATACTTTCACAGATAACTTCACTCTCCAAGGATCCACAGATGGAAAAGAGCTTAGATCCTGGAGCTGTGTTTAAAGAACTGTATCCTGTGGTGCCTCTGTCATCCTAATCTTGCTTCAGTAGTGAGATTCTGGACTTTGAGCTAATATTGTGATGCAGAAGGTGCGGGGGGGGGTGTCAAGTGTATTTTGCAGGTAATAGGCAGATTTTAAGATATCTCCCAGTGGTCTCACCTCTCAGTGGTCCACCGTTTGAATATAGGTGGGGGGCTACTGACCAGATTCTAATGAAAAGAATACAGCAGAAGTGATGGGATGCTATTTCTGATGATAGGTCACAATATAAAATGATGGAGAGACACAGGACAACCGCCATAGATATTCCTGTTCACAAAGGAGGGATGCGAGACATAAAGATGTTACTAAGCCCAACCTAAAAACAAGGAGGCAGGAATTGGAGGAGGCATATTAGAGGCTTCCCACCACATTGTCCTTCCATTTGATTCCATTGATCAAAGGAGTACAACATTAGGGAACTATTTTATGAAACTTGAGGTACTGCTGATTTTCAATGTAAATGGTATCACCGTGAGTTTGTATTACAATTTTTCTTTGGTTCAGAGTAAAAAATATTGTCAATTATAAGACTACTGGAAGAAATTGCTTAAAAATTTATATTTTATCATGACTACAGATTTGATCATTGACTTTTAGGTTAATTTTGCAAAGATTTTCAAAATGTCTTCCTAATGTTTAATGCAACACCTGTAATAACTCAATATTTCTCCTCCTCCTCCTCCTCTTTCTCCTCCTCTTCTTCTTGTGACCCTCCTGCTTTCAGCCTCCCTAGTGCTGGGACTACAGGCATGGGACACCACACCCAGACTCCAGCTAACTCAGCCCACCCTGGAGGTGGGGCTGGCATGGCATGTGGTGCCGGGGGATCAAACTGCAGTCCCTGCATTTGCCTAAGCTTGCCTGGCAGGTGCCCTAGAACACTGAGCTATGACGCCAGCACCCTCAATACTTATTGATGTAATTGTATTCTATATTTTTTCTTCAATTTACCTGGAATTTGCATAAAATTCAGTTACATTCTTGAATCATCAGGGTCTCTACTCTGAATATGGAAGTTATGCTAGTGCTTTTTCTTTGTACTCTTGACAGACTAAAGGAATATTTTCCACTCCTTGTCTCTATATTGCTTTCCGAAGTCCTGATATTAAACTCTTATTTTCCTTCCTTTTCTGTCAGTCTAGATATGTTCTCAACCAAAGATGTGTTTTTGTTCCCGAGAAGACATATATCTCAAGATATTTTGGTTTACAACATGCGTGTGCTACTGGCATCTAGTGGACGGAGGCCTGGGGTACTGCTAGACACTCTACAATGAATGGGATGACCCTTGCACAATACAAAATCAGCTGGCTGAGAATGTCAACAGTGCCAACGCTGAAAAATGCTGGTCTGAAAACAAAGCACTCCTCCTACACTGAATATGATGACATTAAAAAGTTGTTTCAATCTTATTATATAAATTGATTTTCAGGGCCGGGGAGATAGCTCAGTGGAATAAGCACTTCCCTGGCAACTGCAAGGGCCTGAGTTCAATCCCTGTTTCCGCCAAAAAAAAAATTAAAAATAAAAATAAATGATTTTCCCCTATTCACAACTCTCCTCAAAATACCAACAGTGTGGAATTAATAAAAACTAACAACTACAGGCAAACCAGGTTCTGTATCACTATAGAACATATGACTAACACAAGTCTGAGATAAAGGACACTAAAAAAAGTGAGATTTCACTACATCTGGGACACTTCTATTGATTAAGCAGTATGCACTGAATGCTTTTGATACTTCGTAATTTTATACTTTAAGTTTATGTAATTGGTAGTAACTAGAAAATATCTATAATAAGTATATCCAAACTGGCGCATTGATTAGAAAAGTTTAAAAATTTCTGTATGTTAGAATGATGTGAAAATAGTAACAAAATTGAGAAGAACATAAAGCAGTATCATGGAATCCCTTCGATAATGATGATATCTTAAATAATGCTACAAGTTTTTATTATTCTATTACATTTCTATTGAAGACTGACATCATCATTTAAATAAGTTGTCTATAATTTGTAAGTCATCTGTCTGTATCTGCAGAAGTTCTTGGGAGAGGAGTACACACTGTTTTCCTTAAGTGAGTCTGACTAGTCTATTCATAAACAGGCTATTCTTTATATCAGTTTTTATCTTCAATGACATAGGCAAGATCTAATATCAGATTGGCTGTCTCTACAGCCACCTTCAGGCCACTGAGCTTAGCAGTTAAACAGTCCACAGTCAGGCTGTGGGCTGACTGTTGACTGATTCCCAGAGCTTCATGTGGAAGGTGTATCTCAGGTGCAAAAGGATGATGTGTGCTTCTTAGGACAGACCAGCTGAGTCCTTCCTGGTTACTGAACACTCCACAGCCACACCGAGAAAGCAAATCTGGCCAGTTCACAACAGAGGGAGGACCCGCCTGAACTGACCAAAAGTGTCCATGCTTCATGTCAGTCAGAATTTCACCTCCATCGTGTTCCAAAGAGCCAGCAAGAGACTCTAGAGCTCTGCAAAAAGCGTCAGCAATTAGCTCAAGTTCTGCTTGAGTACATTCATCATCTTGGACAATACTTCCTGGCTCCTTATGAATCTAAAGAGTAATAAAAACATCAAAAACATGTAGTGAGTAATCAACACAGAACATTTCAGTAGAGTAAGACATTTGGTCAAAACCTTATTCAGAAAGTTTCTACACACCTTGATGTACACACCTTGATTGTAATTTGGTCACAATGGACATGGATTTGTATGGGTCAGTTATCCTGGCTGCAAGCTCTTAACCTGGTTGCTTATAATAAAATTGTGTGTTCCCAACTCTGTATCAGAATGACTGAATCAGAGGAAAACCTACTCCAGTGTTTTCTGAGGGACTTCCTGGTGCTGCCTCTTCAGTGCATGAGGGCAAGACATGGTGCATTTACTGCATACAGGGGCAGTTTCTCAACATTAAAGCTCCATAGGAGAAGTCAAGCTGTGCTCTCCTGAGGTACAAAGCCCCTTGCCTCATTTTTTTCTCTGATGTCTCTTTCAACCCTGTATACAGAGCTGGCTATATTGTTTTTTTAATATTAATTTTATTGAGAAAGAAACAGCATTGTGACAGGTTAGTAGGACAGTTATAATAATTAATGCATATTGTCTTCATAGTAGTTACTCATAGAACAAGATGCAGATATGATATTTTGTCTAAACACTATTAGTACAAATCTTTCTTCTCATTGAACTAAGTGAAAGTAGCTATATATCTATATAATTTCATATATATATATATATTTTTTTTTCACTACAAAATAGTCCTTCATTTATATCCCCTTTTTTCATTTACTTTTGTCAGACATGGTATTCCATTGGAGCTGCCTATATTGAAACAGTGGTTCCTTTGATTGGCTAAAAAAATGTGACCGAGTCCAGCTGAGATGTCGTTTTAAGTCTATTTTCAAATAAAGTATGCTAGGACTTACATGAAATAGTGCATCAGAACTATAATGCACTGAACTTACCTGACAATAGTCAGGAAATGGTGCTTCCTGAACTAACCAAAAAATTCTATCTAGTAGAATTAATATATACTACACATAGATATCAATCTAAAATTCCAATAAAAGTTGTTGCTTGGAATGTTACAATAAATGAAGTTTTTCCTTGATACTCCAGAAAGTACTAACATACTTGACCCTCTTGTTGTGAACATCAATTGTGTGAGAATTTCAGGATTTCAGATTTCTGTGAATTCTCAGTATTGGAATGCCAGTTTTATTAAGCAGTCTATACAGACAATACTCAAAGAATGGTATCACTTGCTAAAAGATTAGAGTTGTAATAACTTTTTGCAATAAAGACCTGCTGTTTATAAGAATTATTTTCCTGGAGTGTTTTCAAGTACAATGTCTGAGTTAAATTATTCAACAATTAAGCATTAAAGGTGCTAGAGTATTATAATTCAGTTTATATCTCATAAAAGAAAAGTTGCTGAGAATTGAGTTCCTCTGCAGAGGTCTCTCCAACTTACCATGTGTCTGATGTATGCAGCCAAATGAGTTTCAGTGCAGCCACCTCCCAGCAAAACCCATGGCTCCTTGATTGTTAACTGCAATGCATGCAGTGCCGTCTCACATGTGAGCTGAGAACAAAGAGTCACAATCAGGCATCACATCAGAAACAACACAAGCATCAGTGTGATCCCAAATCAACATAGCCAGTAGAATGCAAAGAGCCTGATGTTTTCCTTGCACTGGGAATCGAACTCAGTGCCTGGAGCTTGCCACACATGCACTGTGCCACTGACCTATATCTCCAGCCCTCAAAGAGCCTCATTTCAACTGAAAGAAACAAGCTCTATTTTGTTAACTTTGTAATATGATTAATACATTTTAGAATAATAAAGATTAGAGATCAAAGATATTTTAGCTGGAGGTCTGCTTCATGGAATGTGATTTATATTTTTTCATATGCATGTAGTACTTCAAAGTATAATTCACAAATATACAGTAAACAGAATTTGTCCCAATTTCTAAAAAATTTATTTGGTCTAAATATATATTAATTGTATAAATGTCATACAGTTTAAAATTTTTGGAAATAATAACTTGGGACTTGGGTGATAGCTCAGCAGCATCAGTGCTTGCTTGGCAATAATAGCTAAAATGCCAAATAGTAGTAAAAAAAAAAAAACATACTTGACTCAGCAGGGATATACACCCTTGAGTATATGTGAAACTTTTCTTTCTTTGTATGTTTAGTACACGGTCTACAGGGTCTCACTACATAGATCAGACTCCTAGTGATTCTCCTGTTTATAGCCTGCCAAGTGCTGAGATTACAGTTATGCGCCACCATGCCCAGTCTCCATTGTGTCTCAGTGCACCCCAGGGGGCTATCAGGTTGGCCTGTGAATCTTTTACTTGTCATTAGTACCACAGAATATTGGTTCCCTTACATAAAAGTTGCAGTTGTTACTGTTGGTACAGAGCAATGAACTGTACTAAAGTAGGTGATGGGTCCTGACTTGGGAACTCATTTTCTAAGTGAATTATTTGTACATATTAGCATGTAAACAAGTCAAATTAGAAAGCTCACATCAAGGCTTCTTGTGAATAGCAGATCTGTGGTGTCACACGTTAGCTTGTGGCTTTGCATTTCACAATCTCTTCTTTTGGTGCAGGGATTGAACCCAACACCACCTTTATTATGAGCACAAGCTCCAGCACTGAACTATGTTGCCAGCTATATGTAGATTTTTAAAAATGTATTCCAGTCAAAGACACATTGCCACTAATCTCCCTCAAAATACTCCTCCTCTTCAAACACACCTATCCCATTGTTTTAATCATTTTCTGAAGCAGTTTTCAAAGTGCTTTCTCATGTCTGCACAAACAGTGATAAAATGTCCAGAAAATGATGTTGCCAAGTGCCATCCTAAAAGAAGGCAGGTTTCAAAAACATTACTGTCCTCACCCACCTTATTTGCTGGATCTGGCACTGTGTGACTTCTCTTACTTCAAATACCAAAAACAAACAAAAACATCAAAATGATCATGAAGAGTGAAGGCTTTGAACTGATACAGGATGAGGCAGTGTGTAGGTGGGACGAGGCCTCAGTCCCTAAAGCAAACATGCTACCTAAGTCCTGGGATAAACATCCTGTCTTGTTAAGGTCAGCTGGTGGTCGCTAGGCAACCTTGTGTCAGGGTTTTTTTGTTTTGTTTTTTTTTTTTTTTTTTTTTTTTTTTTTTTTTTTTTTGGTGGTACCAGGGATGGAACTCAGGACCTTGCACTTGCCAGGCAAGCACTTATTCCACTGAGCTCTTTCCCCGGACCTGTGTCAGGTGTTACCAACATTGCAAAGGTATAAATAAGTGGCCATTTTGATTTGCTCCTGTGTTCCTCTTGCAACCAGGCAGACCAGCCACCACCTAGCCCAGCTTTTTTCTTCTTGTCTGTCTTTTTCTCATTCCTGCCGCAGAATGGATCACACTGCGACCAACAGATCCCTACAAGCTACAACAGCACAACTAAAGACATTCAAGAAAGAGGACTTCCAGAACTGTTTCAGAAAGTGGCAAGAATGATGGGATAACTGCTTTGGCCTGAGAGGAAGGATTTTGAGTGGGATTAATGACAGTATGTCTTTTAAAATAATTTTTAAGTAAGTTTAAACATTATTAGTTTTCAGACACTAGATATACAGTACGTGCTCAATGACTATATCATTCCTGCCTCAGGGCCTGCATGTGGAATTCAAAGTTCCTTCCTTACCTTCAGCTCATCCCAGGCAGTGTCATTTCTGTTGCAGAGAAGCAAGCTGCAGACAGTAGCTTCTTTAGGAATAAGATGAAAAAAATGTTTGTAGCCAAATTTAGCAGAGCACCAGTCTTTCACGCTTCCGTAACTACTAGGAGATACTGGACCTAAGGACCCAATGGGCTGTGCTCCTAGTTTTGGAAAGTCCAGAAAACACAAAATATATAAGGAAAGGTGGAGAAAAAAAATTCAGAGCTAGTATTATTCCTAGGTGATACAGAAATTTCACAGCTTATTGCTTAAAATATGAAATGTAGAGTAAATTCAGCGGGCCATGCTGACATACACCTACAATGCCAGCACTCTGGGAGGCTGAGGCAGGAGGACCTCAAGTTTCAGCTCAGCTGGGGGAGCTTAGTGACTCAGCAGTGAGACCCTATCTCAGAATAAAAAAATATGAAAATCAAATCTGAAATGCAGTCATTTGTAACATGAACTGTTAAATTTTGGAATAATAAAGATTAGAATTATTTTGGAATAATAAAGATCCACCTTACACATGGCAAGTCAGAGAGGCCCCTACAGAGGCCCTCAATTCTCAGCAACTTGTCTTCTGTGAGGTCATATACCCATGCAGGGCAGTGTGGTTCAGTGTGAGGCCTTTGAGCTCAATGTCCAATTGCAAAAACAAATAAATGAATATAAAATAAAAAGGAATTTCCTTAAATCTGACATTAGTATTGAGCTATTAAAATAATATACAAAGAGTAAAGCATAGGTTCTTTTGTATCCTTCCTTTAAAAACCTCTTTAAACATGTTAGAAGCTATTTTGTACTCTTTCCAGTAAAGAACGTAAAATTTTGCCTACATTTTTAGGAGGTTCAGAAACTGTGAATTCCCAGACATCAAAGACCCCAAGTTAAGAACCTCATTAGTTGAGGATAAAGGGGAAGTGAATGCAAAGGGTCTTTTTCTCAAGGCATTACTAGTTCAATTTAAAACAAACGAAATTAGAACTTACAAGATTCTATTTAGGAACACACAGGAATGATTGGTGCTTAACAACTGTTTTTGCATAAACACCTACTTAAATCATATCAAAACAAAGTATATGGCATATTTATTTCATGGTTTTATCATTTGATCTAGTAATGTTTTATTCTCTCACCCTGCATAGGTAAAATAGTAAGACACTACAAATCATAATTTAGTGCAAATATAAATAAACTAGGATGGCTTAAATTTTCACAAACATGGTTACAGAAGAAAGCCACATCAAAATTCTAAAAGAATATTAGAGTCTGAATATTAAAACTGCAATCTAGAGCACCTCATCCATCTGGCATTTCTTTCTTTTAAACTGAGGCCAAGCACACATTGCATCAAATAACAACTCTGGGTTGGGGCAGGATCCCAGTTCCTGCTAGAACTCAGTGTTGTTTCTATGGAAAATATCCCATACTTTAAGAACAGATTGAATGAGCCAGAATATCCAATATGTATAGGCTGGAAATTGCCAGGTTCATAAAGAGCTACTAAATATTTAAGGATAGGAGGAGTTGGCCCTTAGCAATGAGTTTCTGCGATTTATTTTTTCTTAATAATTTTCACTTTGATATTCATGTGTCCTAAAAAGGGCACTGAACAATACAATGCATATGTTATCCATACCAATACTTCTTGATGATTTGTAAGAAAGACACTAACAGCTGAATAACCAAAATTGCAGTCAATGCAGAACTAAATGGTCATCCTTCTGCAAGGCTGCAAATGTATTTAATGGGATACCGAAAAGTGACTACAATCAGCAATTCTACTTTTCTTTGGCAATACCAGGTAAGTATGAATCTTAGATGTGACTTTTAATATGGATTTCTTGCCTACTGTAATTCTTTAGGTTACTAAATATATCACATTCAGTTCAGCAAATGTTTTAGATTCTGTTGTGTCCCACGCCTATTATAGGTGCTAAAAATGAAAGGTGACCTTGGTTTTCAAGCTCAGCCAAGAATATTTTTTGATATTTAAATGTATCTTCCTCCCCCCATCAGGAACCACCATTTGAGCAGAAGTACAGCATATCAATGGTGTTAGGATAAAAATGAAGAGTATTCTAGCTATTAAATTATCTTTTGAATATAATATGACTTAGAAGCCTTCTAAATTTGAGTAGGATAGTTCTGAGTAAGGTGTGAAAGACAGTTTAAGGATGCTAGGCTTCTCAACTACCTGGGGTTATAATTAGAATAGACTAGCACATTTCAGGGCTGAAAAATAGAAAATGGTCATAATCACTCCACTTTTGGTAAGTGAACAATAGAGGATCTTTTTAAGAAACAACCTTTGCTGCCAGAAATGATACACACTGTGACATTGGCAGCTTCTAAAATTATGTAAGATTTTAACAGTGATAAAAACCAAGTGTCAGCTCCAAAAAGCATTTATTAACTGTAAGGGGCAAAAGCCATGTGCTTTTTACCTGTCACTTTGCTGAGGGGCTCCATCAGCATCACTCCCACTCTGTCTATGGCCATAATGTGATGGGTACCTAGGAACTGTTTCAGCGATGGATGCATAACTTTTTGGCACAGGACAAGATCCACATGGTCACTAACTAGTTGCCTTCCCAGGTCAAGCAACTGGTCCAGGGCTGCCTTTTCAAGAGACACCCCGTAACTGACCACTAAATTTCCTTCTCCAGGGTCAGAAAAGTCTCCTGATAAAGACGTAGAAAAGAGCGCCACCTTGAGGGCACTTGATTTTCCAACAGGTAACATCCTCATTAATTGCACTGACATTTCAAGGAGTACTCCAGGTAACAAGGCAGAATCTATAACTCTTTCACCCTTTAAAGGTACAATTATACTCTTTCCTAAAATGAGAGGATCTTCTGTGTTTTCTGGAATTATAAACAAAAAAGCTCTAAGTATCAAAGCACTGATATGATCTACCTCCTTCCTGGTGAGCATACAAGCAGGTTTACTTGTTAAAATACTGCGCACCAAACAAAGGAGGGTCTGGGTACTACTGAAGTCCACCGGGATTCGGCAAGCACACCCCTCAGACCTGAGATAACTGGTGCAGAAATTCAGAAGATGTTTATTAAGTTTAATGGTGGTGGCAGCTGTCAGCTCTGTTTTCTGAACATTTTCGATGAGGTTGCAGCAAAGAATGGCTGTGAATAAGCCACAGTCACTGAAGCAGGACACGTGGTTTTGCACTGAGGCTGTGAGGATCTTTAATATGGGGTGGGTGACCGGGAGGTTCCTCAGCAGCACTGTGGACTGGGAGGTCGTGCACACAGAGCCCCCCGTGCCGCTGTGCAGCTGCTTCAGCCGTCCATAGGGGCCGTAGCAGGATGTGAGGATGCCTTTCAAGACAGCAAGTGTGGCCCTGACTTTCTCGGCTGTGAGTGGGTCACTGTGACACAGTGATGGCTTCTGAGCTTCGAAACAAGACATCATAGTGTGGGTGCGACTTGTGAAGCTAGTCTGTATTTTGTTAACTACATTTTCTACTTACTGCCATGTGTTTAAATATTTCAAAACATATTCTTCAGGAAGGAAGGTCTGAATTTAGTGTTGTGGCTATAAAATTATACAGTTCAGTGTTTCCGATAGTCAGCACATAATGATTTAATAACATATTAGTAATTCAGAGTATTTATTTTACTTCATTCTTCAGTACTCTTCTGTTTGCTGCCCCCCTGAGATTTCACAGACTGCTTTGCAGCCCTCTGGATGATGTATGTTCCCAAATGGACACCTATGAAAGACACCCCAGCTACAAGAAGCCAGTTCTTTCTGATCCAACTGGTTTTCATTTCTTCTTCTAATACCAAGCTCAGTTTCAAAGCTTCCTCTCCCTGTAAGAAATAAAAACAAAACACTTGGAGGAATAACTTCAAACTAGTTCGCAGACTGCAGTTCAACATTTATTTTCATGTTCTTCATTTTTATAAAATGAAAATTCAACTGTCTGAAGCCTCAAGAAAATGAGAAAGGTAAGTTAACTTAGACATAATATTACTTTATTCTTCAACACACTGCCCCAATATAGAAAAAGTTCTTGTATTTCAATGATTTGGAATGCACAACACAGCTAGACAGCTTATGTGCAGTTGTTAGAACATGTCATAGTTCTGGGAGAGAGAAAGCTACATTATAATCTAAAAATTTGGTCTCCGCATCTTAAAGAAATGGTCTCAAATGTTTTAATTCCTGTGTGGTGAGATTTAAGGTTATGGTTTGTTCAATAACTTTGCTTTGAAACTAGATGCATCTATATCAAATCTTGTTTTGTTTTTCTTTTTTTAGGGAAGGGACTACGGGGTGTTCAGGGTCTCACTACTAATTGGACTCTAGTGATCCACCTGTTTACAGCCTCCCAAGAGCTGAGATTATAGGCGCGCGCCAGCATGCCCAGTCTCAATTGCTATCTCAGTGCCCCCCAGGGGTGGGGCCAGCACTGCAGGCCCAGGGATCGAACCCCCAGCACCTGCGCCTGCTTGCAGGCACTTTAATCCAGTGAGCTATTTGGCCAGACCTCAAATCTTGTAATTATGAACAATTGTTAACATTCCAGGAAAAATTCAATACTATACAGTCTACACTGAATAAATCCATACAACACATTTGTATCAATACACAAACTATGTTGTATATACATGCTAGAGTCAATTTTCTTTTGTTTTAGTCTAGCAATCAGTAATTTTCAATTTTCAAAGTGCTAACCAACTAACCCCCTCCCCAAATGTTAATGACAACAAATACAAAAACCAAGGGATGTGCTGTATGACAAAGCGAAAAGTAGAATCTGATCTATAATTCCATTTCAAAGAGTGTAAGTACCATAAAATAATATATACCAAGTGGGAAAGGAAAAATACAGTAATAGTAAGTGGTATTCCTTGAGACTTGAACTCTCTATACTTCAATATGTGAAAAAAAAAATTTGGGCTTATCCGCCTTATTTGTTAATGCCTAGTGTTTTGAAGGTGAAGGTTTAGCCAATTATTTGTAAATTATATTCAGGCAGCTAATCATGCCAGCTACTTAGAGAATTGAGCAATAAAAGTAATCTACTTACTTAGCCTAATGCACTTCTTAAAGCAGATGGAGGTACAGTATGGAGCTACAGACCAAGATGGTGATCTGAAGGTGTGTAAAGAAGGGGTAGAAAAGGAAATGTTATGTAAGGCGTTATTTTGGTTACTGCTTCCAATTTAGCTGTAGCTACAGTAACTGGGTTCAACCAAAGTGAAGGCAACCTGGCCAGCTTTCCCCTTTTCTGTATAAAGCTACAGGAGGACTGGGAGATAGTTCAGTGGCCTAAGTGCCTGCCTGGCAAACGCAAGGACCCAGGTTCAATCCCCGGTACCACATGCCATGCTGGCCCCAATCTGTACCGGCCACTGAAACTGGGTGTGGTGGCTCACACCTGTAATCCCAGAGCTGGCAAGGCTGAGACAGGAGTACTAACTGCGTAGTGAGACATTGTACCAAATAAATAAATAAACCTTAAAAATAATAATAATAAAGCTAGGAGAACCTCTGATTACAGCATGAGGAGGAAACAACTATAAATGAAAAACACAAGCACACAAACTACCGGCTCATCTTATGCCTTAAATATTATTTCAGTGGCTTTTTCAGACTTAATGAAATCCGAGAAACACACTTGGTCTAGCAAAGTTATTTCCACGTGGTAATTTTACATTAGATTTTATACATAAAATTCATGAGACTATAATTAATCAAAGTATTTCTCTAGTTACGGCCTTGTTCATATCCACTAAAACTCATCTATAAATACGAAGTTCACAGAAAATTTATTACTTGGTCAAAATCTGAAGCCTTTTTTAAATGAGGAAAATCTTACTGAGCTTTCCTGTAAGGAACAGAATCTTAAGGTGACTTACTTGTACCAAAATTTAGAGCATAATACTTACACTTACTTCAAGATCCAACAGGTTTATTAGAACAGAATGTGCTCTATAATTACACGGCCATAGTTCTTTATCTAGAACCCTTAGGGGCTGATGACTTTCAGACGTTTTTGTATCTAATGTTCATAATGGTCTAATATTCATAACAGAAATAAATTACTCATAATCAATTGTAAGGTTCAGTGAGATAGCTCAGTAGACCAAGTGCCTGCTTAGGCAAGCACAGGGAATAGGGTCCAATCCCCAGCACCACATGCAGCACTGGCCCTGCCTCCCAGATGTGCTGAGCTGGCCACTGAGACCAGGTATGGTGGTGCACATCTGTAATCCCAGTGCTTGGGAGGCTGAGACAGGAGGATCACTATGAGTCCGAGCTGCATAGTGAGACCCTGTACCAATACATTTAAAAAAAAATCAATTACCTAGTACAACACTTATGATCAACATTTCAGCAATGCCATATTTTAGCAGTTGAACTAAATTTTCATATCAAGTAGAATAAACATTTCAAATTGCCTCATATTATTTAAGGACAAGTTTTGTTGTCAAAACAGTCATAAACAACATTTTGAGGGCTGGGGAGATAGCTCAGCAGCTTAGGCACCTGCCTGGCAAGTGCAAGGTTTCCTCAGTTCAATCCCTGGTATCGCAAAAAAAAAAAAAAAGAAAAAAAAAAAAGGGTTTTAGAACTTCCTGAATTTTGGAATTACTGATAAGGTTCGATAGACTCAAATTATACAGCTGTATCTTGTTTATTTCACAGATTTTGAAAAGTAACACATTATTTTGAAGCTAAGGTATTAGACGCTAATGGATGAGTACAACTAGTTTTGTCTCAGAAAACATGAAAAAGGTGGGTTATAGTAAAAATAACACGTATCTTGTCAGTTTAGGCTTTTTCTTGCCAGAGCTCTGTAAAATCAAGTTTCTCATCACTGGAACATACTCGAAAGCTGACCAGATTAAATGGAACTCACCTGAAGATTACACACCTATTTTCCTTGGCTTTGGTTCTTCGGTGGACTTGCAAGTGCTAGACTCTCTGGCTCAGCAATGTTGTCCTTAGCAGGTATTCGGAAAACAGGGCTGCTTTTGATTCTATACCACCCTAAATGGATGAGCCCGATTAAGGGCACCATAACAACCAAAACTTGGTAGTCTCTCCAGAAGTTCTGAAAACTCATGGCATCAGAGGACCTAAGAAAAGACTACAGTTAAAGCAGGAAAACATATCCAACTAAATGTAATTATAAAACAGAAGACTGGATGTAGTGGGGGAGATATATATATATATATCCTTCAAATTATTTTATAAGCCACTGTAAATAATACACTGTATTCCAACAAAAACTATAGTAATATTTTAGAGTTGCTGGTAGGAGATATTGTGTAGAAACTAAGGGAAAGCAGGACCTCAGACTGGGGAAACATATATAAAACAGTACTTTACTCTGAGCTAACAATTACAGTTGACTAAGAACAACACTATTTGCAGGAAAAGCTACAAAACTCTTGGAAATATTCATAATTCTTTATGTTTGTAATTAATGTCTCTCCTTTTCCTTCTCTTCTCTTCTTTCCTTTCCACACTGGGGACTGAACTCATGGCTAACATTCTTCTGTGCTACATCCTCAGCCCTTATGTTTTTTAAAATTTTCTTTTTTTTTCTTGCAGTACAGGGATTAAGCCCAGGGCCTCCACACCAAGCTACATCCACTGCCAAATTTTATTCTGGAATAGGATCTCAGTATATCACTAAGTTGCCTAGCCTGGGCTCAAACTTGGGATCCTCCTGCCTCAGTCTCCCAGTGTGTGTTAAAATGCCAAGCTCTTAAGCTTTATGTTGCTGTTGTTTAATGTATTTAATACAAGGTCTACAGGGTCTTACTACACAGATCAGACTTGTAGTGATCCTCCCATTTTCAGCTTCCCGAGCGCTGGGATTATAGGCATGTGCCACCATGCCTGGTCTTGTTTTATAATTACATTTAGTTATAATTTTAACAGAAGTATCAAAATGGTAATTGTTAAACATACAGTGAGAAGTTAGGTTTCCTGTTTTGACAAAATGTAAATGATGGTGTTTTAATTGAGACTGGAGTAGTAAGTATGGATTCTAATTGTAGCAAAAGACTCTGGCACAGCAGCTAGTAATTAGAATGAGTTAGTGCTATTTCCATATTTATATGCCGAACCACTGCACTCACTAGTTTCTGACCTGGATCTCTAGTAGCCCTACCTACCCTAGAAAGTTATATGAAGATACTGGGAGCAAATAGTGGCCAAAGTTTAAGACCTAGTTGGTGACGAATACACTTTTTCCCTGTCTTTCATTTGACAAGCATGGCATAGAACCCAGGAAAGCTGTGTTCTGAGGACCCACAGGTTTGAAAACTTAAGTCTAGAAAAAAATTCAAAGCCTCTTTATACTTTTACATTTAAAAGATATTCATTAGTGACAACTTGACAGATTGTGATGACTGTATTCCATCCTTTGAGACATGCTAAAGAATTTAGTCGCACCTATATTTTAGTATCACAAAATCTCCCAAATCACTTTGTATAAATACAATTAGAAAGATATGTGAACAGAATTTCTACCTATCAATTAACATTGGAATCAGTATCAAAACATGACAGCAATGAGCTGAGTAGCCTGAATTGTCTCTAGGTTGTGTATTTCAAATAAAAGTTTGAAACTATTAGGCTAATGTATATATATTATTTCCAGCACTACAATTTCTGCTCTAGGTCTAAAGTTATGCACAAGGAGTTTGATGCTAAGCTTTTAAACTACTGAATGGAGAAAGCATGACCTACTTTGTAACTGAAAGAATCTTATGGCCTTTTCTGGTACTCTATATACTTTACACAGTCTTTAAGATCACACTTTTTATTGACATGCTTATATTCTGTCCTTGGAAGAAGTGTTTTTATTTATTTATTTATTTATTTATTTATTTATTTAGGCTGGCTCGGGATGCCTTCAGGGCAGGTCTGGTAAGGCTTGAGGATCTGGGGATTGAACCACAGCATCCAGATTGCTTTGTTTTAGCAGTCACTTATACAACTGAGCTAATGGGCAGGGCTCCAAAAGACCTCATGACTTTTTTTTTTTTTTTTTTTTTTGCGGTACCAGGAATTGAACTCAGGACCTTGCGCTTGCCAGGCAAGTGCTTCCCCAGCCCCGTTTTTGGAAGAAATCAATTATAACTAACTCTAATATGATTAAATTTCACTGTAAAGCCTCCTGTTCAAATAGCTTTAGAGCACTTGAGATTTGAGGGTGCAATAATATAACTAGAGAAGGGACTAGACTTTAATTGGATGTCCTGAGCTAAGTAGCATTCCCTGCAATAGGCTCCCACCATGATGTACTGCCTTGCCACAGGCTCAATAGCAACAGGCCTACCATGAACTGAAATCTCCAAACTATGAGCCAATATACACTTTTCCTCCTCACAAGCTCATTTATCTCAGGGATTTTGTCTCAGTCATGGGAAGTTGCCCAATACAGATCCTGCTCTTTTTATCACAACAGATTAAACTGCAATCTACAACAGCAAATCTAGGAAAGTGTTGCTCTGGCTCTGTGTGCAGCTGACAGCATATAATGTAGTGTGCTTTGAATTGCCTTTGAAAAGAGTGAAAATGGCATCTCAGAATATAACTCTGTACATATAATGAATCTTCTGCATCATGTGGGAATTAAAGAGACACACTATTTCACGCAATAATAGTCTATTCTTTTCATCAAGACTTGAGGATCTGTGCATTCTTTTCTAGATTGAAACATATTATTTATTTTGGCTGAAAATTCATTATTTGCCAAACATCACTGAGGCCCAGTGTAGCACTTCCTAGTTAGTGGTATGAACTGATTTAAGACTGATTGCTTTAGTATTTACTAAATACCTACAGGTTCCTGTTTCCTCACCTTCTCCATATCTCATGTACTGATTGGGCTTATGGAGGCCAGAGAACAGGTAACCACTTTGTGATAGATTATTCTGCTGTCCTCTGAGAGGCTTGGAAAATGATTAGGAAGGGCTTACCAGATAGCTCAGCGGACTAAAGCGCCTGCTTAGGCAGGCACAGGGACCAGGGTTCGATCCCTGGTGTACTGTGCTGACCCTGCCCTTGGGGCGCACTGAAGACAGAGATTGAAACTGGGTGTGTTGGTGCACCTGTAATCCCAGTGCTTGGGAGGCTGAAAACAGGAGGATCACTATGAGTCCAATCTGTGTAGTGAGACCCTGGAGGCCCTGTACTAAATACAAAAAGAAAACCTAAAAAAAAAAAAGAAAAAAGAAAAGAAAAAATGATTAGAATCAGGATGACAGGGGGTTTTTATTTTGAGCCTTCCCATTTAATCCACATAAAAACACTATCACACTGCATACAAAGTAGGCCATCTCTATGCCACAGTTGAAGCTTGCACTCTTAAAATGCCATTGGCCTTAACTTCAACCTACTTTGTTTTTTTTGGCCCAACCAACTGTGCAGGGAAAGACACAATGAATTTTAACTAAGTAAGGCTCACTATTTTTAGTTTTTAAAATTTCATATTTGATATGGTACACAGGTATTAACTTATTTTGTTCATGTCTTCTTGTGGAGCTTTCAAAATCAAACCCGTACAATAGAATATACTTGGGAGATAAAATTGTAACTATTTTGTCTCAATTTTCCTGAGTTTTTTTTAAAGAAGAAAATTACTATTCTACCCTTTTCTAATAATGTAGACCTACTTTTAAAAGCTAGTAAATACAGAAAATAATGTAATCTAAAATCTTACAGATTTTAACAAAAATGTCATCATAATTTAATATTGTTCATGTTTTTATACAAATTATGATGTTAAATTGTACTGTTGCACTAGATTACATGGAGATATTCTAATTTCAATCCCTTCACTGCTAAAGATTTGAGAATTTCTTTTCCCAATATTTATTGTTAAATATAGTATTTCTTTTAAATTCTCCAGAGCCCATGGTCATAGATTCTATACTCTGCTTCTCAGGATAATTCAAATTAAAAGATTTTTGTTAATTCATGTGCAGAATGAAGTTGATAATGATGCTTTTACAACTTTGACTTTGTAAAAAAATATTTTTCTTGATCTTTTATTTATTTGGTACAGGTTCTTGCTATGCAGTTCGGACCCATAGTGACCCTCCTGTCTCTGCCTCCTCCGCGCTGGGATTATAGGCGTCCACCACCATGCTCCATCTCTGGCTGGCTCAGTGGGCCCAGGGTTCTGGGGCTGGCATAGCATGTGGTACCAGGGATTGAACCCAGGTCCTTGCACTTGCCAGGCAGGTGCTTAGACCACCAAGTTATCTCTCCAGCCCAACTTTGACTTTTACAAAGGTTCATCATTTGAAAAGTAGAGAGAATAAAAGATGCAATTTGGAAAACTGAGGCTTATGCTAACTTGGATTTATCTAGTGATGGTCCTTTCCCCAAAACACTTGGCACGTCTTTCCAAATGGTACAGAACTGTCCTGTGGACATCCAGACACTCCCAAGTCTGACTTCCCAAGCAGTAACTAGCCTGTCCCTAAAATACAGTGAGTTCATGCTTTCTGCTCATTCACCGAACTTTTCAATTTGGGAGTGAAGCCACAACAAATGGCAGATGCTGTCCCCTCCTAACCTGGTTTGTTGTATGCAATACTGTTCTTTTCATATCTTTTTTGAATCTTCATTAAATACATTGCTTAAAAAAAGAGAATCATTTAGAAAGATAAACGAGGGCCAGGGAGATAGCTCAATAGAAGCTTTGCAAGGCAAGCACAAGGTCCTGAGTTCTATCCCCAGTACTGAAAAAAAAACCACAAAACAACCACACAACAACAACAACAACAACAAAAAAGATGAGACTATTAAATTTTAGGTCAAATAAAACAGTGTAGATATTTATAATTTTATTTATTTATTTTGGGAGAACCAGGGATTGAACTCAGGCCCCTGCGCTTTCCAGGCAAGCACTTATTCTGCTGAGCTATTTCCCCAACCCCAACCCCCGATCATTTTATTTATTGAAATGTCTTTTGTTCAGAAAAAAATTTATTGGTAATCTTAACAAAGTTTATATGCTTTCTTGTATTCTTCTCTCAATTATATACACAATATATTCAAAACATTTCACTTTTCATTTTGTTTTGGTCTCATGGAAACCTTCTGAGGTCATAAAACCATTTTATAAGACAGAATGCTAGGGCCAGCGACATAGTTCAATGGACTAAGTGCCTGCCTAGGCAAGCACAGAGACTGGGGTTTGATCCGTGGCATCACATGCTGTGCCAGTCCCGTCCCTGGGTACACTGAGCCAACTACCAAGACTGGGCGTGGTTGGCACACCCCGGAATCCCAGCACTAGGGAGGCTGAAAACAGGAGGATCACTACGAGCCCAAACTTCAGAGTGAGATCCTGTACCAAAAAAAGACAGAATGCTGAATGACTGAGCTAGAATTAACAACTGTGACACTCAATTTAGATTTTGGTATTCAACTAAGCAGTTTTCAAAAGTCAAGAATGAATGATCCTTTGGATTCCCAGTTCCAAAAAAAAGAATTAGTGGTCCATCTTGAATAGGAGTCTTACAATTTACAACAAAGATATTCCTCACTTAATGACCAAGTTCCATTCCTGCAACTAGGTAATTAAATTGGTAGCTAAATAATTGTATGTAGTATGTACATTATGATATTCAGAAAAAATGGGCAAAGGAAACTCCAACTTGATGACTTTGCTTTTATTTGCATAACTCTTACATGTAATATTATAATGGAGAATAGAACACAAAACTATAGTAATATACAGTACAATCAGAAAAAATTATAGTACTGTACAAAACAATGTACAATGCATAAAAAATACTGAGGCTTTATATAAATAGGATGTAGAGAACTGTGAAAAAAAAAAAAAAAAAAAGATGGGTCATCAGTGTGACCCATCAAACACAATCAGGAATACTGAAGTATGTTTTGAGGAATACTCGATCTGTACTGGATGAAGATGAGAACATTTACACATTGTGGTGGATACTGTGATAGTCACTGAGGGTCACCAGCCCAGGACAGTTCAGTGGTCTCATGCTACTTGTCCAAAGTTAAGAGGACAAATGCATCTGTTCTGTCCAATGAGAGATTAGCTGGGCTGAATTTAGTTGTTTTCTTTAAATTCTTCACAGAGAACGAGCAACAAGACATTAATGAACAGCTGCTGTAACTCCACCTCATTACAAATGTAATCTTTTTGTACAAACATGAAGGTTAAGGAAGGAAAACAGTAAGGTATTTTGGATCACAAATATTCTTTAAATTTAACTCATTTCTGTGTCAAGGACAACTTACTGCCTCCCCAGTGTGCAATACAGGGACTTCTATCTCTTCAATCTCCACCACAGGCCTCTGAGAGATTCTCAGGAATTTATTATACATTCCTAGTTAACTGAAGGCATCTTATTGACAGTATTAGACAGTAAAGAGATGGGCAAAAAGGAAAATTATGCTTCTAAAAAATCCCAAACAGCTAAGCACTCGATCTCCAACTATTCCTTTTAGATGGCACAATGTCAAGTAGAATTCATCTAGCTTTGTGTTCCTTATTACAAAATTAGGCCTACAACAACCAAGATGCAGAAACTATTTCATAAAAGATTGACTGTGCCTACTGGGCTTGCCGGATGCCCCTGCTGTTTTAGGGGGGGAATAGTGTTCACATACTTAAAATATTAGTTAAGTTTTTAAAACCTCCACAAAATGTGATGAGTAAAAAAAAAAAAAAAGTACAGGGAATGTTGAAGAAAATTACTATAATAAAGACACACTGCCATGTATTTCCCTCTAAGTACTTGCCCTCACTTCAGCACACTTATCTCCTCCTTCCTGCTTCCTCCTTCCGTAGTCCTAGAAGTACTCTTTCATGAGCATCTTTAGTTGCACTGTCATGGCTGCCTTCATGGGGTCCCAAGTCAATTCAAAACATCTGCCTATCACGGTCACTTCAACTTTGAGGAAGAGCCAGAAGCCACACAGTGCAGAGCTGGAGCATTAAGGGGATGAGGACACATCATAATTTTTTTAACTGAGCAAATTGCTGTAAATGTTTTGAATCCATTTGGGACAGCAAGGCAGTCACACAAGGACACACATGAAAGAGAACTCTAAGAACTGCTTCAGAAATTACCAAGAATGATGTGGTGTGATTGAAGTGACGCAGAGTACATTCATGAAGATCAATGGTGATGTGTCTTTTACACCAATAAATTTTTCTTTATTTTTATTTATATCACCTCTGTATATTTGATTAAGCTGTGTAATTCAATTATGAACAGTACATTCGCCCAGATCTTGTGATTAGGACTTCTGATAAAAGTTTACTAACTTTTTTTTTTTTTTTGGATAGGGTCTCACCATGTAGTTTAGGTTGACCTTGAACTCCGAATGTGGCTCAGTTTGGCCCCAAACTTATGCCTTAGTTGCCTGAGTGCTGGGCGTACAGGCCTGCACCACCATTCCCAGTGCTTATACAATTTTATAATACATTTTCTTTTACAAAGACAATGTTGGCTTTAGCTTTTGTGAATCCCTCATCCTGAGCTCCAATCATTTGTGTTACAGTTGTTTTTATCTTTGATTTCCAAAGTACATTCCTCGTTTAAGGACCAAGCTCTGTTCCTGCACCTTGGTCCTTAGTTCCTGAAATGAACTGGTCGCTAAATGAGAAATTGTAGATAGTATGTATGTTACACTACTCACAACAAAGAAATGGTCAAAGAAACTCCAACTTGATGACTACTTTTATTCAGGTAAGTCTTACATGCAACAGTAATGTATAACAGATAACAACATAAAACTATCATACTGCACTGTATAGTACAATCTCAAAAATTAAGGTACTATTTAACAAGATTATTGTACAAAAAAGACAGAGGCACTATAAACAAGATGTACAGAACTGCACAGAAAAGATGGGCCGCAACTCTCAGCGCAGGTCACAAGTCAGAACAGTGTACCTCAGTCATAAGTTCGGTCAGTTACTAACCAGGGAAGGCTGTTGAAGAAGGAGTATCTGTACAGTAGTTCATATTTTGGCACTTCTGTGTACATGTTACAGAGAATCTCAAAAAGCCGGAAAATAGGATTTAAAAGTTTTTATCATAATGAAATGATGAATGTTTGATAAGGTAGATAAAATTAAACTTGATTTAAACATGCTATAACATATACATATACACAATAAAACATTACATGGTACCCCATTAATATGTACTGTTTTTACATTTAAGAAAAAAAATCATCCTGCCTTTGTGGTACCCAATAGGGTCACAGGCAAAGAAGAGTTTTCTTTAACTTTTCCCCTCTTCTGTATGTATCAGCTAAGATAACAGCTTTGCCAGATGTGCCACTTTTCTAACAATGCTGTAGTCATACTCTTGATGAAACAGTGGATTACACCTGAGTGCTTACAGCTTTCACTCTGCAAAAGCCTACCTCTGTCCAACTCCACATGTACGGTCAGCTGGACCTGCAGCCAGGAGCCAGGCTGCTGCTGAGGCTCAGCCAGGTCGGGACTGGATCTACAGTCACAACAGAGTGAAGGTTCAGACACACAGATGTACCTCATGATTTTGCTATTCCCCTCATTCTTACTCTGAGTTCACGGTATTTATAACTAAAAATAATTGTACTGAAAGAATCACAAATTTTACATGGCAGCTTCACTAACTACAGGCAGTCAAGAATATAAAGGGATTTGATTGATTAATGACTACTGAGACATGACAATTGGCCTACTGACAGGCTGGGCTTACCAGCAAAGTTATGATTTTTTTATAGCGTTGTCTCAGAATTCTCTCATCCATTTCTACTGATTTCACCGCCGGGCTGCCATTTCATGTTGGCTTGGGTCAGGGAGAAGGGAATTGGTATCATGCTGATAACCAGACTGTTGCAGATTTAAAAGTCCCATTGACTGGGCCCTCAGAGTTACACAATGATTTTATGTGCTCCTGATCTACTCTGAATCTCTACAGGACCAACTTTTATCTCTCGTCATTTTTAAATTTTACTTTGCACTTCCATTTCTGTAAATAACCTATTGGCCACAGGACACTAGAGGGACAATCGATCTTAAAAGCCTCAATTTCCCATTCACATTTGTAAAAGCAGATTTTCATCTCAGTTCTCCCTCTTACACACCCTACCCAAGCCTAAGACAAGGAACTGGTGAGCCTGTTACCCACGCTCCAGTTCCATCTGCCAGTGTCTTTAGGGTTCTAATGCCAGCATCTCTTCTTCTGTCCAACATCCCATCCAAAAAATCTTCCTCCCCTGCATAACCAGAGCCATTTTTCTTTATCAAACCAAAACCAAACTCCTTGAAGCAACTACCTTCACCAGCCTCCCCTGCATGTACTATACAATCTCATTTGATTCGTATGTATCTTTTTAAGACTTACTTCTCATTTCACCTTCAAACCCAAATAATCTGCTTTCATTCTGTTCTCCACAAAAAAAGATTTTTTTTTTTTTTTTAAATTTTTGTTTTTGATACAGGGTCTTGCTAAGCAGTTCAGACTCATAATGATCCTGTCTCAGCCTCCCTAGGTATCAGCAATCTAACTTGGGACTTGCACTTGCCAGGCAGGGGATTATGCCACTGGGCTATCTCCCCAGCCTACAAGAACTATTCTAATTATAAAGATGTTTTGGTTAGCTTTCCAAATAACAAAATACCTGTGATAAATGACTTCAAAGAAAGAATGACTTATTTTGGTTCACAATTTCAGCTTATGATTGACAGACCCCATCCATCTGGGCCTATAGCAGCAGTCTACCAAGGTGGCAGCAAGTGATGGGTGTCTGTTCACCTCACAGAGGACAGGAAGTGGAAGAGATTAAAGAAGATGCAAGCTCAGGTCTCAATATCCCCTTTAGGGGTACACCTCGATGAGCAGGCTTTCTTCTACTGGGCCTCATTTCCTGCAGATCCCACCCCCCAAACATCTAAGTAACAAGTGCGGTGACCAAGTTTTGTGGGTTACAGCAGCTCCAAACTGTAACAATCCCAGCGGCCCCATTTCCACCCTTGATCTCTCTGAATCATTTTAAGATCGTTTTGAACTTATTCCTTCTCAGTTTCCTTTAATGACCCGTTGGTTCCCATCCACCTATGCATTCCTACTCAAGACCTGTCTTTGGTTGACTCCAAGGTCTCATTCACACCCTAAGTTTGTATTAAGCATCCACACAAATGGCTTGTGCCATTCTCACTGCCTGCTTAGATCCAACTGTTACCATTAACCTTTAACCTAACTGTCCTCACAAGTAGTCTACGCCCATTACAAAATACTGTTCCACCTGGATTTCCTGTTTTGGTTAATAATTAAACAAGTAAAATCTGGATATGTGAGCTCTGCCCTTTTCCTCACTCCTCTTTTATATCACTCATCACATCCTATGATTGGACAGGACCTCTGCATGTGACCATAGACCAGGCCCTCATGATCCTTGAAGGAGCATCTTGCTTAGAAAGTCTGTGCTTTTCCAAGCATGGTCTCCTCAATAATAGCATTACCTGGGAAGTTAAGTAAAATCCAAGTTCTCAGGCTGCTCTGACCTACTGAATCAGGAACTTGAGGGTGTTGTTTGATAATCTTGCATTAAAAAATTTCCTAGGTAATCCTGAACCTAACATTTGAGAACCACTGCTTCAATCTACTCCCACTAATTTGTTCTCTACACTTTTAAAATAGCCATCTTGCAAAATGAACAAATTCAGTTGTGTTTCTGCTTTGCTCAGGAGCCTTTAGAGACAGTTTTGACTAGGGAATGAAATCTCAGTTTCTTCATACAGCATAACACCTAGTTTCTGCCTTCAGTTTTCAAAGAGTAAAGTACAATGAAATATATTTTAGTACAATGGACAGCCATGTACTGATTAAGGGAATGAATCCCACTACTTGGGCTTTGACCTACTTATCACTAGACAGCTGGCCACAGGGCCTTGGATGAGCCAGTGAATCTCACTGTGCCTCAGTTCTACCCTTTGCAAAAGGAGAACGGTAACTTCCATATATCACAAGGTGGTTGTATAATTACCACAACATTTGGCACTCAGTCTGGGTTTAGTGATTGTAATTATTACTATCTGAAAAACTATACTGGAGTCAATCCAGAGTACAGCAGGAAAGAAGACTGGAATGAATGCCCAGATTCAGGGAAGTGGTCTCATAAGAGAAGGCTGATTCTTCTGTACAGTTTCAGTGAGTTAGTTATAAAATATCCATTTTTTCAAGAAACAGTGTCTGTGGTCTTCAGGCTATTTTAATTGGGGGAGGGGGCTGAATCTGTAATCCCAATCTAGGATGTCACAGCTGAGAGTCAAGTGTGTAAACCAGGTAAGCTAATGATGCATGAAAGAAATAAGAAAACTAAAGAAGCAACGTAGCAAAGGAAGTGTGATTAAGTTCATGCTTGTTTCTGATAATAGTTAATAAAATTACAGAGTTGCCAAATGATTCAATGTTGAGAGTCGTCATATGATGGACTTGATTTGCATGTTCAGAAATATTGCTTATCTAAAAGCAAAGGCTTTAACTAACAAGAGGAATTCTAACTTCTATCACAATTTAGTTATGATTGTGAGTAAGTCACTTCTCTCCAGCCTCAATTTAATAACTTGTAATATGGGGCCCATTATGAAGACTTGTATATATAGCTTAGCACAGTGTGCAGTATGTGGGAAGTCCTCCAGCTAAGGCAACTCTTTCACTATCAGTAGAAGCATATTATCTTTAATATAAATCATATATAAAAATAAGCTTCTCTAGACTCTCCTACTTGATCAATGCCATTATACACTATCATCTAACATTCTGACTAACATTTGGTTACTTCTTACAAAGCTAGGAAATGTTACACAGAGCAAGGGCTGGGGAGACAGCTTAGTGACATAAGCCTGGCAAGCGCAAGGTGCCAAGTTTGATCCCATCCTGAATGCTGTGCCATTGTGCGGGCCACAGAAACTGGGTGTGGTGGCACATGCCTGTAATCACTGCACTAAGGAGGCTGAGACAGGAGGATCATTAGGAGTTCAAACTGCATAGCCAGACCTTGTATTAAAAGATTAAAAAAAAAAAAAAAAAGATAGAGCCAAATACAATCTTGTCTCTAGTGTTCGCATCCTTTAGAGCTAACCAATTTTCACATTGAGCATTTGGGACAGCCACTGTATTCAAATGCTCAGTCAGTATCTGTTAGGAGACATCGGGGTTAAGGATAAACTACTAAGATGAATGAGGCATGATTTTTGTCTGCCAGAATTCAGGCTTGAGGCGACGCTCCTAACAAAACATTCAATACTCTCTAGGAGAAAGCAAAATACTGCATGGATTAAAAGCTTTCGCAGAGTTGACTCAGTTTGCAAAGCTGCACTATCTGACTCTCAAGTCATTTTCACTAACTTCTGTCTTAGTTATAGCAGGCAATCAGTAGCCACAGGAACAGTAGCTGCCGTCCACCCTCTCACAGGCAGCACTTGCTTTGTTGGGCAGCTGAGAATCTTGGGCCCTAGGTTCCAAAGTAGGGTGGCTCACTCTTAACTTTCACTCTAGGTTCTGGCCTCTCCTACTCCTAGTGGCCTTCTCGGAGCACCATCCTAAAGTGTCTTCCTTATCCTTCCCCATGTTCTGTTTCCTCAAAGCCCCACTTCTGTGGCGAACACCTTGCACCACCCTAATCTCTGTTAAGAAAGATGTATTTTCCCAGGTCTTGGGAGGGCCAAGGGAGCCCTCAGGGGCCGGCCCCTTTCAGGACTGACTCCACAGAAGTAAAATGACTCCCTTTCCCAGGTAATAGACCTCCAACAACCAACCAACGCGGGGTTGTACAGGTCTCACCCAGTCCTCCAGAATGCAGCCACCGGGAAGGGCTCCACCGCCCTCGGCGTCACCAGGGGGCTGGAGCAGCCTTCTCCGGGGCTGCCCGGCGGCTCCACTTTCCCCCTCCCCTAGTCCTCAGGAATGACAGATCCCAAACGATCACCTCTAATGAATCTCCTCCTGCCCACGAATCTCAGAGTCCGCTTCCCGGGAAAAACCACCTAGGTCCCCCTAGAAACCTGCTGTTCGTTTACCAGCGTTGCGCGTCCACCGTTTCTTGCCCGTCCCTAGAAGATCACGGCAGGAGGCCGGCGCCACGCCTGCCTCAGTCCCCGCACGGCCCAGTGTCGCAAGCACACGCGTACTTTTCTGATTACGGTGAAACAGCCAATGTTAGTCAATGACAGGATCTGGGCATGGTGCAAGGCTGGAAGGTGAACACCACCTGAGGTCCGGTCCGCCTCGGACTCGGCTGGTCTCCTTAGCCCTGTCCGAGGCCCGGGTCCCGCTCCTGCTTCCCCCCAGCTGGCCGGAGCCCGGCGCGCAGTCCAGCTCCAGGCAAGGAGCAGCCACCCGCCGGCAGCCCGGGCTCCCCGCGCGCCCCGCCACCGCAGACCCACACCGGCTCGGGGTCTGGGGGAAGGACGGCGCGGCGCAGCCTTCTCACCTGCCCACAGTGCTGCGCCTCCCCAGGACGCGGCGGCAGCCAGCAGGCTCCAGAGGCCGAACCCGACGCCCCCTGTCTCCGCGGATGCCGGCGACCTTCGCTCCGCGCGCCGGAAGGGCGCATGCGCAGCGGCGCTCCGGCCCCGGCCCCGCTCCGACTCCGCTTCTCCTGGTTTTCCAGTCTATTCAAGCGAAGGCTGTAGTCCGAAGAGTAGGGTAGGCGGGGTTTATTTAGCGCCAATCTCAGATTGTAGAGACTGTCAAATTTAAATACCACTTCAAGTGTAAATAACACATAAAAATTTCACAGAATTGCCTTTTGCGGCACACTTTACAGGCCTGTATTTAATGAATAGAAAACTAGTCGACCGTTCTTGGCCTTACGGACGCTGTGACTGACCAATCGCAAAGCGCCACAGTCTGTCGCTCAACGGCAAACCCCGCCTCGCTATGCAGCTGCCCGGAAAACAAGGAACACGCTAAACTAGTTTAACCTCGCTGGCTCGGATTGGATCCTCGACATGCGCAGTGAGAGCTGGTCGCCTTGTAGCTGACTTCCGCCCTCAGTCCCTGGCCCCAGGGGTGACCGCAAGGTCAGCTCTTCAGTGTGCTACGGTTCATTAATTTCCGGGTTGTCTATGGTGTCTTCTGATTCACAGAAAACTTTCTCTCCTGCATCATGCCAAACAGTAAGAGAGGAAGTTATGTTTAAAATGGCTATTTTTAGCTAAAATTTCTGTTATTATTGTCTCGTGGAAAGTATTTTCTACTTTTGTGCTATTACTTTTCAGTAAACTACAAATGATGCTGCGTTTTCTCTCCTCTGAACTAATAGTAATTTATCACGTGCCAATTAGGATCTTTGGATCCGCAGCCTGTGCCGCCATTTTTGTTGTGGTCACGCCTTGAATATCATAATGTTAGTAGAGGCCATTTTTATCTAGGGCAGAGTCCTCCCTTTATTCTTGCAGCAACATAGTGATTTGCTGCCATCTTAAGTCCTGGCTGCGGCTTCAAGGCGGAGGAAGCTACGGAGATCATTGTGTTTGGGCAATGGCTGCGTGCCCGGGCGCGGGGTATTCTGGGAAAGGGGAAGTGGGCCCGAAATACGAATTCTGGAAGCGTCTGAGAGTTGATTTGGTAGCTTGCATGTAGAATGATTGTCCGCAGCCCGGTGATCCCGGACAGTAACAAAACATACAAAGCCCGAGCCCAAACCCCGCCTCCATCCTAGGTAAGACGTGGAACTTCTGGCGACCTAAGGTGGTCTTTACTGGAACCGAATGTTTGCCCACCCCTCTGTGGTTTTCTTTAGGCTTTTCCAAATCCTTCTCTGTGCTTCAGCCCCTCTTCATTATTTTCCAAGAGCCAAAACGTTGTTAACTGGAAGGTTGCGGGAGGCCTGCACTTCAGAGGAGAGAAAACGTTAACCAAAAACAATTTTTAAAGACAGAATGGAGCCCAGCGGATGGACCAGTTCTTGGTATCAAATTGTGGCCGCTGCGTTCATCTGTACAGACACAGTCCTCTTCCTAAGTAACGTGAGAGCGTGGTGTAAATACAGGTTATGTTGGCATATATTTCCCATTAACTCATTCGTTAATGCACTTATTAAATGCCTGTTTTGGACCATAAAAATACAGCTGTAAACTAATACAACTTGGAAGCCTCGTGCCATCATGCCACAGCTCCTAGCTTGTGACCAGGAGCACAGTGTTCCATAGTTTGTGGCATTGCTAAACTCTGCAAACCTGTATTTCATTTCTCAATTTCCTTTGACCCTCTAATTCTTTTCCTCACCTAGGAATAAATTATGTTGATAGTTATTGTTTGGACCCTGGATATAAGCCTAAGTGTAAGCCAGTTAGCCAGTGGTGTAATCAGGATTCAATCGCCTTTAGGTCCTTGTTGCTAGGAGCAGCAAGCTCCCATCAGCATCAGCATTGTGTGGAATCTTGTTACGGATGCAGTCATTCCCCCAAAAATGCACCTTTAAGTTCAAGAACTGCTGATACAGGCCATGGGCTAAAGGAAGACGCCTGCCTTTTTCCTACCTATCCTTCTTAACCAAATTCAGTGTATTATTAGCTAATTAAAGTGCAACTATGATGGCTATTTGGGGCGTATTTTTCTGATTTTGGACAGAGTTGAGGTCATGACACCAATGTAGTGTGGCAAAAAGTTGCCAAGAGTTTTGGTTGAGCCAGTATGCGTTTATATAACTGACAACATTCAAAGTGTAGAGTTTTGTCTTTAAGCCTTAGGACATCCAGTTTACCACTAGTGTGTTACTAACATAAAGGGGAAGGGCTTGTTGCTATGTTTTTTGCTTTCTCCTATGCTGTGTGGCTATTTTAAATTTGAATTTGTTACAAGCTAAACTCAAAGGCCTGTGTGTGGACAACAGCTCAGTTACTGACTTGAAACCTTGGACTGCGGTTTACCAAAGCTTTTCATGGCACCTTTTTCTGCATACTCTTACCAAAATGTGTACATCAAAAGTTCCCAACCTTGGATGCATGTGACAGTCATCTGGGGATCTTTTACAGCAAGCTTGGCCCAATTCTCAGCAGAGATTGAGACTGCATAGAATTAGGGAGCCAGGCAGGTATTTGATGGAACAGCAACTGACTTACACTTTTCTCATGATGCTGTATGTCAGGGGCTTTTCCCCTCCACCCTTGTGGTTTTGTTTAAAATAGTTTGTGAAGGCAATGAAGAGGCTTGGACTTTGAATGTAGTGAACCAGCTTCTTAGGAACCTGTCAATTTGCCATTTATTTTTTGTGCAGGCTGTTCAGCCTCTCTGTCTCTTCCCTTCACCTGTTAATGGGGAAAAGAAGAATAGAGGCTGTTGTATTTATCCTCCTGTGAATGTTTCAAATTGTAGTGAATGAGAACGTATATGTATGTGTTCTGGCGATGTGTATATTCTGAGAATGTAAGAGACAAAAGTCTTACATGGCAGTAATATTACTTTGGATTTTCACATAGTGCATTATATGTTGTGGTTGGCAGTAGAGCAGGAGATACAAAAAAATGAACTTTGGGGCTAGAGGTCTGACTTTACATCCTACCTTTTCTACTTACCACCTGTGTGACCACATAAAGATTCCCTAACCCTGCCTCAGTTTCTCATTTGTAAAGTTGATGTGAAGGTCAGATAGATTATTACAAGAAAAGGGTTTAAGGGCTGGCGAGATAGCTCAGTGGTGTAAAGCACCTGCTTAAGCAAGCTTAGGCAAGTGTGCAGGGACTGTGGTTCGATCCCCAGCACCACATGCTGTGCCAGCTCTGCACCCAGGGTGGGCTCAGCCACTTACACACAAAACAAAACAAAACAAAACAAAAAAAAAAGAAAAGAGGGTTTAAAATGCCAGGTACCTAGAAACAGCTTAGTAAATATTAGTTTTTGTTATTTTGTAAGTTTACATCTTTGGATTATTATAGTGTTGTTAACGTACACATCTTTTGTCTGGTTTTTGTTTTCATTTGACAGGCTTATAACAAAAATCCGCCTTTTTTAAAAAGCAATTGTGATACTGTAAAATATATATATATATATATATATATATATATATAGTACATTTTGCCATGTTTTACATGTACACACCAGCAAAACTGTCACTGCAGTGAAGAGAAGGAACATACCCACCACACTGAAAAGTTTCCTCTGCCCTTCATGGTCCTGCTCATCTCTGCCAGGTCACTAGTTGGTCACTATTGCCAGGCTTGCCTTTTCTAGGTTTCTGTTTGCAGCGAGTCTGGTCGTATATTCCGTTGTGTGTATGTGTGCGTGTGTGTGTGTGTATTTGGTGCAGGGTCTCACTACGCAGCTCACACTCATAGTGATCCTCCTGTTTTTGGCCTCCAGCGCTGGGATTACAGGCATGCACCACCACACCCGATCTCGGTGGCCTGCCCACCCTGGGGCGGGGCCAGAGGCACTGGCAATGAAACCTGGTCCCTGTGTTTGTTTGCCTAAGTACATGCTTAGTTCCCTGAGTTATCTTGCCAGCCTCCATTGTGTTTTGTTTACCAATTGATAGCCATTTGGGTTGTTTTCATTTTCACTATTTTTATTTTTACTCTGCCTGATTTTCTAGCTTGTTTGAATTTTAAAAAAAAACAAAAGATGGCAATGGTAAATCATATTTGTGTTGGGATTTTGCTATTGTGTACTTTATGGATTCAACTTTTATCAGTGAGACAATGTGGGTTTTTTATAACAAAATGTGGAGTAGGGGGATATACTGCAGAGTAAACCAATTGCCTGGAATGCACAAGGCCTTAAGTTCAAGCTTTGGTACTGTTAAAAAAAGAGGAAGGAATGTGTGTGTTGATGTTTTAAGTGGATGTATGCCTCTTTTGTCACATATCTCCTCTTTGTGTCCATGTATCTGTATCTGTCTCTGCCTCACCCCTGCCTTTTTCTGCCACACCCCCATGCCCCCTGGGTCTTGCTATGTTACCCAGGCTAGCCTCAGATTTGCAGGTGCCTGAGTCTCTGGAGTATCTAGGGTTATAGATTATATGTCACTGTGCCCAGTGGATAGTTATTTCTTGATGTACACATATGTATACATTTTAAGTTGTTTAAATTCATTAAAGTCAAAGCTTACTATTTATATATTACTTTTTAAAAGTTTTTTTTGTGGTGGGTAATTTGAATGATAACGCTTGTCCTTTTTGCCTTGTTCTCTTTACCTTCAAAAGGCAAAATGTGTCATTTCTGCTTTTGGCATTCTTCTTTCACCTTTATTTCTGTAATATGCAGCTTCTGAACATAATTCAGCTTTTGAGGTTCTAATTAGTTTTTTTTTTTAAATGTAAGGCTGTGTAAGATTATTTTTAAACTGTACAGTGTCTTTTTTTTCCCATAATTTTATTGAGAGACAAAGAGCAATGAGACAGTTTCAAACCAAATTGGTAGGACAGTTTCAATAATTAACACACTGCATACATTCTTCCTAGTGGTTATTTGCTGTACAAGATGCAGACATGATATCCTATTTACAAACACTATTAGAACAAATTCCTCTATTCAATAAGAGAATGTAACTATATATCTATCCTAATCATTTTGAATACACAGATACAAAATGGATATTCATTTAGATATGCCCTTTTTTGTTTAGCTCTGTCATTTGAATAGTATAGGTGTGTTAACTCTGCAAAATATTCTAAAAGAGTCCAGTAGTCCATAATAGTATTGAGGCTTCTGCTTGACTGGCAGTGTCAGAAATTGTTGACCTGAGTCCCCTACAGCTCAACATAACAACATGGCTTTACTTCTTATATTTCGTTTTTATACTTTTCTGCTGGATGGTTAAGACCAAGATAAAGCAAGACCTATGCAACAAGAGGTGTAGCTTTTGGATTTGATAAGGTCAGTGAAATCCCCTCAGGATTTATCCTGATCCTGAGATCCTGTACCTCAGATTGTAGATCCTTTGTCAGTGTCAGCCATGTGGGTGAGTCACGGCCATTGCTTGGCCAATTGTGAAAGCCTGAGAGAATATTTTCTCTCCATGTAACTCTCCTTAGGCACCCTCTACATCATCAATCACTTTCCTCTTTGGCCCCATAATCTCCTTGATCAGAAAATTTGGGATACTACTGAGTTACATGACATTACAGTACAAGATCTCATATGTCCTGAGTCTTAATTGACCTTAGAAGGCTAGGGCCAAAATGTTGGCTTTACTTGCAACCCTCCTTTTTCTCTAATTTTGGTCTGCAAACTTAGGTTGTTAACCCTCCAGAAGAGAAGCTTATTGTTATTGCCATACAACTTAGGCTGCTAAGCTTAACCTCGCTATCTGTCAGACTATCAAACATCTTAGGTATAACATGGAACAGGTATTTTTCATCAAGTATTGATATGTTGAACTTTAAGTCCCTACAGCATATGATGAAAAAACATTTTAAAAAATTAGAATATATTTTTAAAATAGGCATAAAGAATTATATAATTAAAAGGGGGTAGTGAATGAAAGCAGGAGATTTTTTAAAAGTTGAAGACAATAGTTTATGCAAATCAGAAGCCTGACAATTAAGTAGCAAAGTAGAGATATATAAAGCCAAGCAGAAAAACCATACCTTTGCTAACACTGGACAAGATCACCAATATTTTGAGTCTTTTTTGCTTCTATTATACAAAACCAGTCTCATTTTAAAAAACCTTTCCACTGTCTACATTTTGTGCTTGAATGAATAAGTGCTGGATTGCAAT